GTGTGTGTGTGTGTGTGTGTGTGTGTGTGTGTGCGCGCGCTCCGCGAGAAGCAGGTGAAAACCAAAGAGACGTCTGATTCACTCACGCCTGCGGCTGACTGTAATAGCTGTCGTATGACTCGTAGGCCGTGTCTGTGTAGCTCTCATCGTAGCCCTGGAGAGGGAAGGAAACAAGAGTGAGATTTAGGGAGAGGCTTGTTCGTGATTCATGAATGTCAAGATGTCCCCAAAGCATTACGCTTGTACTAAAGCAGAGACGCACTCCGCCTGTGTCTCGAGCAGCGGGAATCACTTCTTTCTGTGCCTGACGGACCAGCAATCTCGAAGCTAACAAGAGCGCCGAGAACAATCTCATCGAGAGGAGAGACGTGTCAAACCTCGACAGGAAAACTCAACTTCAGTTTCAATTTATTCCTCATATGTCTAATAATTACTTTTGTTAGATCCCAAATAAAGCCGAAACATATCTTCTGTTGTATAATAATATTTGTGCCGAGGACATATTAATTAAATGGATAAATTAAAGCTACCCTCCACTGGTTCTTGTACTTACATAATCCTCGTAGCCATCAGCGGCTGCAGCAGGGGTGTGCTGGTGGGGGGGTGGGTGTGCCATCCTCTGCGGGGGTCCGGACGCCGGGGGCCTGGCACGGGGTGCCGAGGCTCCCCTGGATGGTGCTACTGGGGGTCCTCCTCGGCCTGCTGGCACGCCCCTCACTGCTCCACCTCTGGCTGGGCCGCCGCGAGCCACACATCCCCTGGCGGGAGCACCGCGAGGTGGCATTCCCCGTCCCCTGAAGAAGAGAGCACCGGGTTAATATGGCGAGATTATATAGTTCTACATTCTGGGAAATACACTTATTCACTTTCTTACCAAGAGTTCTACGAGAAGATCACCATTCTCGTGCCTCTACGCAAAATATGAAGCTAAATCAGTTAGGATCCAGTTAGCTTAGCATAAAGACTAGCAACAGATGGAAAGAGCTTGGCCGGCTCTGTCCCATATAACCATAACAACGTGTTAATTAGTGGGCTTTATAGGTTTCATTACTCTTAGACAGAGCTGTTGCCCCATTTTCAGTCTTCCTGCTAAGCTAAGCTAAGCTAACTGGCTACAGGCTCCAGCCACATTATTTACTGTCAGGACATGTGAGTGGTGTTGAGCTTCTCATCTAATTTGCAGCAAGATAGCCAAAACAAAAAAATACTTTGTTCTTCCATTAGAAAATGTATTAACACTTTTAAGGCCTTTACACAGCAGGGGGGGGGGGGGGGGGGGGGGAAAAAAAAAAAAAAAAAAAAATCAACGTT